CAGGACTGGGTAGCTTTATGGAAGGCACGAAGGGTGGTAAGGGTCCAGATCTCCACGGGGAGCTCATTCCAGAGGGCCGGGGCAGCAACAGAGAAGGCTCTCCCCCGGGGGGTCGCCAGCCGACATTGGCTGGCAGATGGAACCCGGAGAAGGCCGAGCCTGTGTGATCGAATCTGTCTTTGGGAGGTAATTGCCAAGAGGCGGTCTCTCAGGTACCCAGGTCCGATGCCATGCAGGGCTTTATAAGTAATAACTAGCACCTTGAAGCGAGTCCGGAGACCAATGGGCAGCCAGTGCAGCTTGCGGAGGATAGGTGTAACGTGGGTGTACCACTTGAAGGCGAAATCACAAAATTGCATCTCATTTAATCTGGCCATGCCCTGTGGGGGAATTTACTGGAGAAAGCTTGAAAGTGTTAACGGTAAAAGGAAACGGGTCTGCCAAAGAACACATGGGCTAGACACCATCAAAGCTGATGCCAGCCAGAGCATAGAACAGTGATGGCAAACTGGGGAGTGTGTGTGTGTGCTTGCTTTGCACATGTACCTTGTATGTGTGTGCTCATCTGGGCTGTGACCAGGAAGAGGAGCTGCCCAGTGGAGCATGCTTGTGCTGGAAAATGAATTTCCGGTTTCTAGCACGCCAACAAGTCTTCTGGTTACAACTGGCTGGTGCGCATGTTCACAACAGAAAATGGAAGACCAGCTCTTCTGTTTCCGGCCCTTCTGCATGCACAAAGGCCAGCTGATCATTGTGCGCATATGCATGCCAGAAACCTGGAAGAGGAAAGGGCGAAGCTGCACGTGCCAGGTGAAATGGCTCCATGTGCCACTTCAGGTACGTGCGCCTTTGGTTCACCATCATGGGCATAGAACTACTCAAAGAAATAGTGCAAGATCAGAAGAGATGGAGAAGCCAGGTCCATAGAATCGCCAAGAGTTGGATATGACTGAATAGATAACATCCACATCAGGCAGCCTGGCAAAAATTTCAGATTTCATGGACCTTTCTATTAATCTAGTTTATTTAGTCATTTTACAATATTTTCTAATTGGTATGTATTCAATAATTGGTTTAGGTGCAAAATGCTAAGGTGTAACTGAGTTATTTTGTTTTCCTTCTTCCTTGTCACCATACTTTCTTTTTTAGTTCTTTTTTTTAACACTTTACGGCTGAGATCTTGAACTGTCCTTGTTTTGCTCCCTTGCAAGGCATTGTTGTGAATGTCCCTTCTCTGTCAGTAGATAGGGACACTCATTGAGTCCCCTGACATCTCTAAGAAACATTCACAAGGGGGAGGTTTTTTTTAATCATGTCAGCATGGAATTGATCCTCCTGGCTCTGCTGGAGAGGTAAAGACTTGACTTGACTTTTGACCTTACTTTTTACTCTCCACTTTACTTTTTACTCCACTCCATTCCACCATACCGTGCCATACCTTACCCCATACCAAAGTATAGTTGGATTAAGAAGTAGCCTGAATAGAAAAGGTGAAAAATTGAGGTCTATTAGAGGTACACCAGAACTGGTTTTATGTCTGCCTGGATGATTGTATACACTTTCATAAATTAACCCATTCTGATATAAGCCTTCTATTTTTAAAATATCACAATCATTTCAGCAGGCTACAGTTTTCTGGCTCTCTAGGGCAGTGTTTCCCAAAGTGTGGTATGCGTACCCCCAGGGGTACGGNAAGCCAACACAGTTCTAGGCTGCATAAACAGAGGGATAGAATCAAGATCATGTGAAGTGTTAATACCACTTTATAATGCCTTGGTAAGGCCACAATTGAAATATTGCATCCAATTTTGGTTGCCACTATGTAAAAAAGATGTTGAGACTCTAGAAATAATGCAGAGAAGAGCAACACAGATGACTAGGGGAGTCGTGGATAAAACATATAAGGAATGGTTGCTGGAACTGGGTATGTCTAGTCTTATGATAAGAAGGACTAGGGGTGACATGATAGCGATGCTCCAATATTTCAAGGGCTACCTCAAAGAAGAGGAAGTCGAACTATTCTCCAAAGCACCTGAGGGTAGGACAAGAAGTAATGGGTGGAAATTAATCAAGGAGAGAAGCAACTTAGAATTAAGGAGAAATTTCCTGACAGAACATTAATCAGTGAAACAGTTTGCCTCCAGAAGTTGTAAATGCTCCAACACTGGAAATTTTAAAGAACATATTGGATAACCATTTGTCTGAAGTGGTATAGGGTTTCCTGCCTAAGCAGGGAGTTGGTCCCTTCCAACTCTATTCTACTCCCAATCAGAGATTTAACAGAGTAGAAAAAGGGGCTTTTGTGTGAAAGGATTGATCTCTCCTTGGTTCTGATACCTAATGTTAATATCTGACCTCAGGATTCTTTTGCTGTGAGACTGGGTTTTCTGTTGTGAGATTTCAAGGTTCTAATATAAAACAGATTAGTACTTACTAGCCTAATGTCTGTTTCCTGAACTCTGCTGTTAACGGACAAAAGAATAATTGTTGGTGGTAATGGCATTTATGTGTCATCTTCATCTTGTTGGGTAGGTTCCTCATAAGCAAATAAATGTATGAGATTTAGGAGCCTGTGATTGTTAAGATGCACTGTGTGGTGAGAGAATGAGAAAGTGTGTGCACTCATGTGCATGCATTGGCAAGCATGGTAAATTACATGCCGGGATAAAAACAATATAATTGGCATATGGGAATAAAAAAAATGTGTGCCTGATAACATTTTCGCCTGCCCTCTGCTGACTGTTGAAGTATGTGCAGGTTTTTACTGTTCCCATTTCCAGGCTGCTTTACATGATGGAGAGACAGATAAACCTCAAGGGATTGATGCAGCCTCCTTCCTAACCCCTTGTATTGTAGTGGAAAACAGAGTGTGTTCTGGGACACCATCCAGAAATCAGTATGTGGGTTGGGAGGGGGGAAGACTTATCAGCTATCCACCAGCATTTTACTATTACAGCAGCACAAGGATTGCATAGCACCCATAAATGAATATTAACGAAATACAGGTTTGCGATATATTATCTGAGAATCCCATATCCCCTGTACTTAAAATCGACTAAAAGCAATATGATAGTCCATTTAGGAATTGAAACTTTGACATTCCCAGCAATTAAAAAAAGAGATACTTCTTTTCTCAACTTATATAAAAGCAAAACAAACCACAACAGTTTAAAAAACACTTAATTAATGTTAGGTTTCTTGTTCCTTATATGGCTAAAAGTCTTTGGTTGTGTATATATTGTCTCAAGCTTTGTCAAGTGAATGTGGCTTATGTATGGCAGGTTCATCATCCTTTCTGTGGTGCTCTTTGGACTGGCATACAATCCCAATGAGACCTGCTCTCTCAATCTGGTGGACCATGGCAGAGGTTATCTGGGTATTTTGCTCAGCTGCATGATCGCTGAAGTTGCAATCATCTGGCTCAGCATGCGTGGAAGCATCTTGTACACAGAACCTCGGGATTCCATGCAATATGTGCTATACGTCAGACTGGGTAAGAGGCAACGGTCAAGGGTTTTTTATTAATTTTTGGTCTTGATGCAGCTGCAGTCGTGTTCTCAAAGGGTACTCCATTCATAATATTTACAAACACTGAGTGATCCAAGTGCATTTTCAGTTGTGGCACCAAAAGATATCTGCATCTGGATATATGGCTACTGAAATTAAATATTATTTGCAAATTTAGTCACTATTTCATTACTTTTGCAGATGTGGGAAAACATACTCTTATTTCCCCCCAAATAGGAAAATATGCCTCCATAAAATCTATTTCAATTTTTCTAGGGCGAATGCACATTTATGAATTTTTTTATTGTTAAAAATGGACAGCGTCATTAATGAAATACATATACTTTGTCTAATGTCTAAACCCTAACCCTTGACAGTGATGCATGTGTGCTGTTTCTTATATTCAGCAAAGACAAACATGTTAGCATGATACTTTTAAGGATAAGTAAATATAGTTTACTATTCTGTGAAAAGAAACACATACTATAATTATCTTTCTCAAACTCACCATTATTTCCTTTGTTCACTTACCATGAGCTTTCATTTGTAAAAAAATCTGATGCCTATCTACCCTTCCCAAAAGTGTGTGTGGAATATATTATGCTATTCACTCCAAGCTTCCAAAAAAAAAAGTCTACATATATGTGGGTATATATGTGGTATAGAGAGATAAGACATTTTGGATGATTCCCTCGCTCATTTTTATAGTTAAGGTTCCCCATTATCATTCTTTCATATTTTTCTCCTAGTCTTACATTGCATGTTTATCTGGGTAAAAGTGAAAAGTTTTAGAATGACATTTATTTTTATTTAGTGTATGGCATCTACAAAGGTCATGCAATCTCTCTGATATACAACACTAATAAGACACATTATACATAGGAACAAGAAATATATGTTTAAAAATATAAGTTTAAATAAAATATCAGAAAATATATATGTGGGCAATGCAGTATATGAGATAAAATATTAAATTAAGGTAAAACCATGATAAAACCATCATAAAATGTCACCATAGAATAGGATATATGCTATAATTAGATATCTAAGCAAGCTAATCACCTAACTTCTTCTGGTGTAGCTGCAATGAGATCATCCCATTTAGAATGACACATCATTGGCTAAGAATTGATGCTCAGAAATATGGTGAAATCAGTTGTTGTTGCTGCTGCTGCTGCTGCTGTTGTTATTGTGTTGTTATACCATTGTACACTCTATTCTTATTGTTCCAGCAATCTTGGTGATTGAATTTATCTACGCGATTGTGGGCATTGTTTGGTTAACCCAGTACTACAGTTCCTGCAATGATGTTACTGCCAAGAGTGTTACTTTGGGTATGTCTTTATAAGTATTTAAAATCACGTTTACGCATCATAGTGTATTGAGATTTAACCTGTTTATAGACCTAAACAAGCATAATTTTTGAGGTCTTGCTGTTTCACTGTTGAAATTTAGTTTTGCTGAAAACATTCATGTACATTTATTCATAGGCATAACAATTAATAGTATTACAATTAGAAAGGAAATAACTGTTGAAGTCTAACTAGGCTGGGCTAAAAAAAAGTGTTCTATATGCCATGATCCTGTGAAGGACTGAAGATATAGACTGAACAAAGTGGTGTAATGCATATGTAACTATTTGGGGGGTCACTACTATTATTCACAGTATTTATACTCATTGCGCTTGCTTGATAACCCTCATTAAATATATTTTATAATATATTTATGATGTTACAGAATCTCCAAGAATATCAGAAATTTTATACAAGAATTATCTTTACCTTGTCAAAGAAAATCAAACAGGGAGTATTACTTTGTGGAAAAGAATACTTAAACTTCAAGGAAAGAGTACAAATGAGTCAGATCTGCCACTTACAAGCTGGTCCTTATCATCTGTCTCCTCTGTTTCACTAGGAATGGTCGTCTGCAACTGGGTGGTCATTTTGAGTGTCTGCATCACTGTCCTCTGCGTATTTGACCCAACAGGACGGACTTTTGTTAAGTTGCGAGCCACAAAGAGGAGACAACGTAATCTAAGAACATATAACCTGAGGTAAGATAGCAGTAGACTTATATACCGCTTCATAGGCCTTTCAGGCCTCTCTAAGCGGTTTACAGAGAGTCAGCATATTGCCCCCAACAATCTGGGTCCTCATTTTACCCACCTCGGAAGGATGGAAGGCTGAGTCAACCCTGAGCCGGTGAGATTTGAACCGCTGACCTGCTGATCTAGCAGTAGCCTGCAGTGCTGCATTTAACCACTGCGCCACCTTGGCTCTTGAGAAAGTTGTAATTGTAGAGGTTGACTCAGGGTTTTATAAAATAGATTTGCAATTTAGATAAATGCAAATCTATTGTTTTCAATGTAAGGTAAAGGTTCCCCTTGCACATATGTGCTAGTTGTTCCCGACTCTAGGGGCGGTGCTCATCTCCGTTTCTAAGTCAAAGAGCCCGAAGATGTCTCTGTGGTCATGTGGCCAGCATGACTAAATGCCAAAGGCGCACTGAGCACTGTTACCTTCCCATCAAAGTGTTCCCCATTTTTCTACTTGCATTTTTTACATGCTTTCAAACTGCTAGGTTGGCAGAACCTGGAACAAGTAACGGGTGCTCTCTCCATTACGTGGCGCTAGGGATTTGAACCCTTTTCAGTGTAGATAAGCACAAATGAGTGTGTTCAATATGGCCGCAAATAGTGCAGTTTACGTATTGGGAATACTTTTTTGGAATTGTAAATAGTAAATGTCTTGTTTTTGTATGTATGTATGTATGTATGTATATGAATGTATGAACAATTTTGGTTTCCAGGTGATATTCTTTAATATATATATTTTGCAATATTTATAATCCTCTTAACTATGCAGCAAAAGTCAATTTTTTTCTCATAATGATGCTATCATGTACATTAGAATAAAAGGTAGTGGTTTGGCCAAGGTCATCCAAGTATAAATGGAATACATTGGATGTCATTCACCCAAAACTATAAAAGAATGTGTATTTAGTTTGTCATAACTTAATGAGCCAGGAGTACTTGACAACAAAATGGTATCTTCAGCAATGCAATTTTCTATTTTTAAAAATAAAGAAGTTAAAATAGAGCAAACATTTTTAATTAATTCAATCTAGCCAGTGTGACATTTTTTTCCCCGCAAATATATAGGATATTTGACCAAACATACAATATTAACATTTTGCATCATTTTGTTTTCCTTCAGAATCCATGGAGGATCAAACTTCTGTAATATTGCCTAGGTTGTATTGGAGATTTGAATTGAGCAGAAGTCCTTATTGGAGAATATGGTTCAGAATCTAAACAGAGTGCTAAAAAAATACTGAGTAATTAAGTAGCAGAACTTCCCATTTTAAAAATGCTCATAATGTATTAACTGAGATGCAGAGTAAGGGGTCAGTCCATATTTTATTAAATGCTGACACTGATTGTATTTGAAGTAAGAGCTACATATTTTGAGAAATCCACAAAGGCAGAAAAGCTTGAAGAATTTGAAGAGAGGAAGGTACAAAAGGGGAAAGTTTCCTTTATCTCTTAAACATAAAGACTCAACAATGAGTCAAATGAGAAACAGACATGAGTAGGCTTTGTGAACACCTTTATCCGATCTGAGCCATTCTTGACATTCTTTTTCTAGGGCGACTTATGTATCTCTGTAATGTAACTATATTCCTGCAGGTGGCAGCATCTAGCCTACTTTGGCTGAACTTGAACAAATAATGCAAAGTTGGCTCAGCTACTATTTGGATGGGAGACCACTGAGAAATCCCAGAGCTGTAAACTGGACTAGGAAGTTTAAAAGAAAAAGAAAGAGAGCTTTGGAATAAGACAGTGGAAAGCCATTTCTCTTCTGCTGCAAAAGAACATTATTTTGATTACTAGGAGCTGAGCTGTATTTGAGGGAAATTTTACTTTTGTGTGGAAGCTTTAAGACAGATGACATTCAGAACTGTTCACTATTTCATTCCATATTATTCCAGTGTTTATATATTCTTGATGTTAGGCTCTTGATGTCTTTTTGATCTGGTGATTGCATTTGACTGTAATTTTTTTCTTCTTAAGGCATCGCTTGGAAGAAGGCCAGGCTAGCAGCTGGACTCGCCGTCTAAAAGTTTTTCTCTGCTGTACACGAACAAAAGATTCACAATCAGTAAGCAGCTACTGTCTTGTCATTAAAAAACAAATATAATTCATGATTTTGATAGTATTATAGTCTGAAAACTGTGGTTGATGATGAGAGGAAATATGGTACAAGTATCCTATTGGGCTATTCCATGCATACATGTTGATCCAGTGGTGCTCTGTTGTAAGAATAGAAAAGCTTTTCATAGTTGGTGCAAATAAATCTTTACAGGTAAGCTGTTCATTCATGCTTGATTAGTTGCAAAAAAGAAGAAGCCATTTGCAATTTAAGAAAAATACTTAGCTTGTAAAGGGGCCTAAAACTATTGAGTTGGCTAATTTTAAAATATATAGTAATCTTTCATTATCTTTTATTACCAAAAATATAATTAAAATGGAGTAATCAATTATTTAGATTTTTTTTCAATCATGAAACTTTTGAAAGGAATTCCACATTTTACATTAAGCAAAAGTAGTAATAACATTCCTCAGAACCATCTAATCTTGGCCTGTTTGCAGCTGTCAAGACATCTTACTTAATATGTAGTATCTGATACATGATATTGAATTGTGCAGGCATGTTCACCCACAATAAAGAAGAATAGGTGTACTGATAGCAAATACTACTGTGTAAAATGAAACTACCTGATCTAACACAGACACATACACACACAATTTTTTCTTTGAATTCCAGACGCTAGAGACAAGAAATGTTGGTCTCTATTATACTTTGCCTGTGAGTTTTCAAGGTTTAGGGTTGGAAGTCTTAAGTTGGTGGCCTTAAGGGTTGGAGGGAGGATCCTAGCCTAAATCAGTTATTGTTGTTTTGACAAATGTGATATAGTAGATAATGTATTGGATAGAAAGTGAGTGGCTTAATTCAAATACCTGTTCCATTATTCTGCTTAATGCCTGCCATTCAACAAATTTTGTCACAGGCCTGATTTATATAATAACGTTAGTATATAACATGGTTTGTTGAACAAGTCACAGTGCCATGATTCACATAACACTTTCATGATGAGAGAGTGGCAATATCATGCTAAGTCAACATTAAGCAAACCATATTATATGTTTATCTATGTGTAGTAATTAGTATTTCATATTATTTCATGTTATTAGCTTTTTCTATCATATATATGGATTCAAGCATTATTTCTTGACTACTGTAGTGAAAAAAATTTAAGTAATGCTATGTAAAGGTAAAGGTTCCCCTTGCACATATGTGCTACTCGTTCCCAACTCTAGGGGGCGGTGCTCATCTCCATTTCAAAGCTGAAGAGCCAGCGCTGTCCAAAGATGTTTCCGTGGTCATGTGGCCAGCATGACTAAATGACGAAGGCGTACGGAACGCTGTTATCTTCCCACCAAAGTGGTCCCTATTTTTCTACTTGCATTTTTACATGCATTCAAACTGCTAGGTTGCCAGAAACTGGGACAAGCAACAGGAGCTCACTCCATTACGTAGTGCTAGGGATTCAAACTGCTGAATTGCCAACCTCCTGATAGACAAGCTCAGTGTCTTAGCCACTGAGCCATTGCATCCCACTGTGTCCCACTATACTATGTATATTATTTTAAACGTCTTGGAAGAAAAGTTTAATGTAAATAAAAATCAATACATTCAGCCATGTGCAGAAACTGGTAATCCAGAAATTGCTGCATTTATACATAGTACCAAGGCAGCATTACTGCTTATTCAGTAATGGTTGCTTAATTCACACAAAAACTAAGTTATAAAGGATTGTTTACATACTGTAATTTTAAAAAAAGCAAACTCCATTGTGGTTTAATATAATGCCTTTACCAATCCAACAAGCTAACAACTATTTCAAGTTCTTGTCTCTTGCTTGTTGCAGATTAATTTTTCACCTTTTCCTCTTTGGATCTTTCAGGATGCTTACTCTGAAATTGCATATCTCTTTGCTGAATTTTTCCGAGATCTTGACATAGTCCCATCTGATATTATAGCAGGCCTCGTTCTACTACGTCAACGACAAAGGGCAAAACGCAGTGCAGTGTTGGATGAAGTGAGTGTGAGGAATTCTCATTTTAACAATGAAAAGTGGGTGAAATCGTTACTTAAAATTACCTTCTGTGATACATTTCATTTGGAAAATACCTAATACTTCATCATAATTCACTTCCCAGCTACTTAACAGTTTCACTGTTTCTTATTGACAACATTGAATTAATAAATATTTGTTTACTGAAATAGAGGAAATTATGATTTTAAATGTCTTTCAAAAATCATATTAGTTATGAGAAAATTCCATAAAGCACCAATTCTCTCTGGTCTGATTTTTTTTTAATTAACCACTTAACAGTTTAATTTGGTCTGACTATTAATTCTAGGAATACATTGAACAAACGTCTAGGACCAATTGAGTGTTGGCAAATACTGTAATTTGGATAATGAAGACATTGCTTATTTTGAGGGATAGTTGCAAATATCCTATTAAACATTCTTTTTCGCTTTCCATCCAGAAGACGGAAAATAGATTAATGTTGGCCAAGCATCACAGCTCAGCAATATAGGTCACAACTAAAACTGTGTGAAAGTAGTGGGAATATGACAAGAGAGACAAAATAGCTATTGCCATAAGAAATATCAATGACAATTAGTGGTGATCAATTATATAACAATTTAGGTAGCTTCAGCCACCCCCACCCCACCCCCACACACAAAAGCCTTTTTTAACAATTTCAAGGCTGGTACTGTAATTATTTTAATTAAGCCTATTTTTGTGGATTAGAATCCACTATTAGATTATCACATTTGTATTCTAGTCCACAAAAATCAAGGCATAAATGTATCATTCTCTTTGAAGGATAAGGGTGGTTCAGACATGTGAAAAATAAATAAAATTGTCTATAAGATGTTACAAAACTGACAATTGGTTTTATACATTTCTAGGCTTCAGATTCAGGTAAAAAAAATCATCGATCTCCCAGTATTCAGAGAAGAGAGAAAAACAAAGAAAAAGAAACTGACAGCACACACTTAGAATAATATACTTTCCAACTACATTAATTCAAACAAAGAAGTGTTTACTTTCCTTAAGTACAAGCTGAATATTTTAATTACATTTTTCCTAATCTATATGATTTACAGGCAAACAATGATATACTAGCTTTCTTGTCGGGAATGCCAGTTACCAGGAACACAAAATATTTGGACCTGAAAAACTCAGTAAGTTATCAGATTGTTTATTGCAGAAAATATGCAAACTCAGTGGATTAAAGGAATTAGTTGTTCTGTCTTTCCCTGGATAAACTCTTGTTCTGATTTTAGATGTTAGAGATCTATTAGATAAGGTAGAGATCTATTAGTTCATAACAACACGCATGAACGTATCTTGCCAAAGCAAACAACATATGCTATTTGACAGGTAAAGTACTGTCAAATGTAGATAAATCTAATTAATACATAAAAATCAAACAAAAAATAAATATAATTAATAATTAAAATAATTCATAAATTAAAAAGAAAACAAAAACAAACAAGACTCAAAGGGCAGACTCGATGGACCACTGAGTATTTTTTGCCATCAGTTTTCTGTGATTCTGTTTCCAGTTTCTTTTATGTCTCAGAGAATTATTGCTGTACCCTAATTGCATTTTGAACGTTGGCCAGTTCTTTAAAAGAGGATCAGGCAGCATAAATTGCCCAGTATTTAAATGTTATCACAATAATATGACTTAAGGACTGTGTAACTCTTGAAAGATTGAAATCTAATCTGGAATAAATGCTCCATAGAAAGCTTCTACATACAAAACAAAGCTCCTGGAGCACTAGGGAACTACCAGAGCACTACAAAAGAGCCGATAAGGTTCCAATCTTCAAAAAGGGGGGAAATGTATCCAGAAAACTACAGACCAATAAGCAGCACATCAGTATCTGGGAAAATCCTTGAAAAGATAATCAAGCAGCGGATTTGCAAGCATCTAGAAATGAGCAAAGTGATTATTGGACATCAACATGGATTTGTTAAAAACAGATCATGCTAGACAAACCTTACTGACTTCTTTGACAAAGGGACTAACTTAATGGATTGGGGAGCTATTTGGAATATAGTTTTTTTAGACTTCAGGAAGGAATTTGACAAAGTAGATCACAACCTACTTGTTAATAAGATATAAAAATGTGGAATAGATAGCATCATCACTAAATGTATTTGCAACTGGCTGATCAATCGCACTCAGTGTTTAGTCCTCAGTGAAACTACATCTACATGGAAGAAAGCATGTAGTGGGATACCTCTTCAACATCTTCATAAATGATTTAGGTGAGGGGACAGAAGGGGACCTTATTAGATTTGCAGACAACACCAAGCTGGGGGAATTGCCAAAACTTTAGAAGATAGACTCAATACTCAGAAGGATCTTGACAGACTTGAGCATTGGATCTATCAAACAAGATGCAGTTCAGTGGTGAGAAAATGTGGCAGGAAAAATAAAATGCACAGGTTCAGAATAGGTAGTATCTGGTTCAACAGTAGTAACTGTGAAAGAGAGCCATGTATCCTGGTGGATCACCACTTAAGTATGAACCAGCAGTGTGCTGCAGCTGCCAAAATAAGCATTGCAGACTTAGATGCATCAGCAGAGGGATAGCATCAAGATTACGAGAAGTGATAGTACTGATCTGTACTGCACTAGTGAAGCCACACTTGGAATACTATGTCCAGTTCTGGTCATCACGATACAAAAAAGATCCTGAGGTCCTAGAAAGAGTGTAAAGAAAAGCAACAAAGGTGATAAAGGGTCTGGAGGGTAAATCATATGATGAATGGTTAACATAACTAGGTCTGTCTAACTATTGAAGAGAAGGCCTAGGGGGTGACATGATAGCTGCCTTCCAATACTTGACGTGCTGTCACAGAGAAGAGAGGTGTTGACCTATTCTCCAAAGCATTTGAAGATATGGAAAAGGAGTAAAAAGGTGCCAAAGAGTTTTGGTCTATGTGGGTTATTTGTATTTATGTTTACTGTATTAGAATTTAAAATTGAGAAATTTTAAAATATTTATTTATTTGATTTTTGGACTCCTTGAAGAGTCCCTGGGCCACATTTTGAGAATGGCTGGCATAGGTAAACCATTTTTGTAAGCAGTTATTTGTACAAATCAGTTATTTATAGTTATTTGTACAAATGAATCAACCACTGTAGACTGTTTGCTTATAGCACTGTTTATACCTAGGTAATAGAACCATTTGAGATTTACTGGGACTTTTGTGAGTTAAATAAGCAATACTTTTGAATTAAAGCTATAAACCTCAAATGTAGACATTTTATAGCTTTAGTATACAAAAAAGATACATAAATGAAGAAAATTAAGAAAAAAGACACGATGCATATTTTGAAAACAGCTATATTTAAACATTTCATGAAACTTTATGAAATGGTATCTCTTTAATGGTATCTCTTTCCATTACATCAACACAGAACTAGCATATGATCAGTGAGCAAATACACATCATCAATCCAGGATTCTGTGTAAATCCTGTATAGAACTGTCTTTTTATCATGTAAGAACATTATGTTCTGGTATACTCCACACTTCATAAATCAGTAGTTCTTCATATATTGATAAATTCAAAAAAGATTGTACATAATTTCAACTCACTCATACAGCACTCTTCTCAAAATCATTAACAAACAAACCCAAATTGGATAAGTGTGGCATGAATACATTTCATCTGCATAAGTGTCTCTTCCATTATTTTAAACTTACAGCATAATGAAGTTGATAGCCAACTCTTTTTAAAAGCTTTACGAAGTATCTAATAAATATGGAAAAAGCTATCATTGAATTAGTCCCATCTTAAGATCATGATAACTTAATATCCTTTAATCATTCATTTATTAAAACAAATTCTTACAAATTCTCTGTCTCTAAAAATATTTGGAGTTATGCATAAGTTCATTTAATGATATTTTAGCAGTAGGGAAAAGATCTTTGCCCAATCTAGTTTTGACTGCACTGCATCTTACTACTATTACTATTTAGGTTTTGTTTCCACTTTTAACAGAGGGCTTCATTCTGTCAAAATGCATGAACTTTGTTTAGTTGTTCAAACAAGCCAGAATCAAATTAAGGGTTAGGATCTTGGCTTGTTAGTAAACCACATGTTACAAATCAGTTTTCTTAGCTAGACTGTACAATAATAAGGTTCTCAAGCTGGTTTAAAAATGAAAGCAAAATTTTCTTACCCACTCAGCACCTATCCTAGAGACTGCTAATCTCAGGCTTCTTCATTCAAACAGTGCCTGGAGGTGGCTATTTGAAGCTTAATTGAAAGATCAAACAGACGATGGAAACCTAATCAGAAATTATAATTTTTTGATAAGTAAGTAAGAGGAAGTTATTTCTAATTATGGCATCATGCCATAATATTTGTTTTATTTCCTTCAGCAAGAGATGCTGCGATATAAAGAAGTATGCTATTATATGCTCTTTGCTTTGGCTGCTTATGGCTGGCCCATGTATTTGATGAGGAAGCCTACCTGTGGACTCTGTCGCTTGGCCAGATCCTGCTCGTAAGTATTCATACAGATTATTTTAAATGTCTTTTACTTTATTATCTCATTTATTTATTTTTTCCTCTGTCTCCTCATCCATTCCTCCTTTGTTGAGGTGTGTGTGTGTGTGTGTGTGTGTGTGTGTGTGTGTGTGTGTGTGTACTAATATATTCATTCATTCATTCATATTCTCTTTCTGGCAGTGGTGGGTTTCAAATTTTTTTAGAACCTCTTCTGTGGGTGTGGCCTGCTTTGTGGGAGTGGCTTGCCAGCCATGCGACTGGGTGGGAGTGGCTTGCCAGCCATGTGACCGAGTGGGAGTGGCTTGGCAGTCATGTGACTGGGTGGGCGTGGCCAACTTGTAAAATATGGTGAAACTCACTTAACAAC